CCATGACATCGCTTATTGAAAATAGTGAAGTAGTTTCCGATTTTCGATATTGCTTCGTACCTCGAGAGACGTTTTATGGATAAGCCTTGAGGGCTTACAATAAAAAGGTAAGGTTTTTGGATATTAGTCTTTTAAAGTGCTTAAAGTGTGTACTGAGTATAATTAAATCTTGGTTTTGATTTGTATTTTATTTATGCGTAATAGTATACTTACTTTTGTGTCAGTCAGTCTTTAATTAAAAGGTTCAACTTGAACATTTATGTTGAGAACGCCCGCTGGCAGTTTGAAGAAAGACCGGATCCTTCCGGACCGGATTTCCCATCACAAAAAATAGGACAGAATGCTTTAATCGAGTTCCTCGACTATCAGATACCCATTACTCAGCTAGCGGGAGAAGGTTCGACATTCTTTTGGGTATATTCAAAGAATTAAATCAAATTAAATTTTAAAAAAACGCTTCCTTCTGCCTGTTACATACATTTCAACGAGTCTAGCATACCCATTTACTCTACGAGTAAAGGGTATAAAACCCCCATGGCCTTCCGTCCGTTTTGGCCATAAGTGGGGGCAATTACCAACACTTCCAGCGGCATTTAGACGGCCCAGTACGTTCCGAAATTGAAATAAAACAAACAAAATTAATATGCTGCCACCCCATTGAGTGCGCCTGGGGCACATATAAACTCAATGGACCGCCCGCCGGGGAACTCTGCACACGTTTGTGGTGTTAGTGGCCGAGTCTCGACCAGGTCCTTTCTTGGTGTGAATATAACACTTATGTGGGGTGAGTGGGGGACAATGGCACACACTTGGCACTTATTATTTTGCAACACCCGCAACACTAACTCAATTGATATGCATGTGTTTGTAAATTAGCAAACATACAATTCAGAAATGGGAGGCTGCGTGGCATGTTCTTTAAATGACTTTCAGTGGGGTTCGTAATTAGCTGAATTATATGTATAATTAGTCCGTAAAGAAAGGTTTTTGTTTATTGATCAATAAGTATATAAATAGCCATATAATGATGTTCACTAAAAGTGCTACTGAAATCTGATAAATTTAATCAATTTTGTATCAAAAGGACCGCAAATTGCAGAAACTTTTTACCTTTTCCGGCTGTGAAGCCATACCAAATTTAAAGTTGGCCTGCAAAGGACAGGATTGGCATCACGGAATACCACCATCTATCCGGCCATCAATTAAGCCACAACAGCATGGCATATCTGAAGTACACGGCTAAATAAAGCTGCCATCTCCCGAATGTCAACAAGGTCGTTCCGAAAAGAGCGAAATGGATCAGGGTACCGGGGTACCGAGATCCGGATTGGACCCACATATCGGCACACCACAATCCCATACATAAACAACGAATCTCCGCCCGGCAGTGCTTAATTAAATCCCATCGGGCAAGTTTATTTCACTTTCTCCATCCTGGCTGGCTGTCAAATTAGTGCTTCATGCTTCATGGGCCAACTCCCCAAAACGGCAGCGGCTGTTGCACAAATTGTGGTTTCGCTCCGGCTAAAACTAATTTCCCCTAGATGATGTCAAGCCATTAAGTTGTATTTTTGGTCAGTTGGGGAACGTGGCGACCACTACAGAAATAGTTGAGTTAAGCTGTCCATGACAGCGCTCGTGAAAACCAAGGGTCAAAGTCAAAGGAGCAAAGTTCACTGAGCCCATTCGCAGAACTTGTTGCATACTTCTTGGGGCAGCCGTTGACAACTCGAAACTGGTAAACTGGTGAACTGGTGAACTGGTTAACTGGTAGCTGGTAAAGGGGGAAAAGGCGTCGAAAATTACGAGTGCTCTGGAACATAAAGTTTGCTAATTGGACTCAATGCGGTGTTCACAGTAGATTTAATATGACACGTTTTACTACGTTTTGCGAGGGGTGAACTCATTAAAGTTAAACTGTAATTATAATTAAAAGAGTCCGAGGAGTCTTTTCCTGCAGGTTTATGGAAGCATAATCTTTGTATAGGGTATCTTGCATTATGTATTTTAAAATGAAACCTAAAGGGTACAAAGTTCGGTTAAATTATTGCCATATGGCACACTGTTTTGCCTTATCACACTCTACACTCCACAACAAAAATGAACATTGCTTTAGAAGTTTTCAGCTAAGCCGCACTCACAACAGGATTAAATCAGATCCTCAACTTATTCTGACGTCAATGATGAGCGTATTTGCCCCTGGCAGCAACTGAGTTTTTATTTAACTTTGCCTGCCGAAGTCAAACAAATAAAATGACAAAATGTACCGGGCCTGGCCTTATTTAAGCCTCTCGACTGGCAGGAGTGTTTTAATTTGTCAGACCCAGTATCGGGACTTGTCGCCAATCCTCGGCAAATCTCACCTGCCAGGTGGGAGGAGCAGCTGAGTGCCTGCCTACAGCTGATTAAGCTCATTTATCAAGGGGAAGCCAGCCCAGATGGCGGTTCCTCGAAGTGCTCGAAGTGCTCGAAGTGCTTCGCTCGACGTAAGAGTCTCGCAATTAAATGGCCTGAACTGGAGACCCAGAAGTCGCCTGCGGCATTCGCACAGTACGGAAAGTTGAAGTCAATATTGATATTCATGTTGGGAATCCTGAATGCGCCTACGAATTCCCAAGGAATAGGAAAGGCATTAGGAACGCTTAAAGGCCATGGCATTTTGGTAGTTGAAAAGTTTGGCGCGCATCAATTTGGCAAGACAAACATATAATCGTTAAAGTTTTAATTGTACTGCGTAAATGATGTTTCGCTGCCATCTAAATTTAGATTGCACAAAGTTTCGATATACACGTATATTAACAAAGTTTGGTTTGCTCAAGAGGGCAGAGCTTAATTCGTATTGATAACATTTGCACAAATCTAATGAAATTATCACCGAAAACTTGTGGGCAAAGAGAACCCCAAGCGGTTCTTAGCAAGTGTGTTTTGCTCCTTCAAAAATATTAAGCAAACATTTTACAAAGGAGCACGCCATAACCTATGTAAATGATTTAAAGATATACTTTTTGAAGTCAAAGTAGTTTCCCTGCGGAGCTAATGCCCCGAGGAGAAAGTGACTTTCAGCTTTCGTCTACAAGCTACTGCATCTGTCTCGAGGAATTCCGACTTTTGTCGAATAGTTGGCAACTTTCTTCAACTCACCCAGACCCAGGACTGGTAAAGAACTCAACACCCTCCTCGAAGTCCTGCCCTCGCCAGACATCTGGAAACTATTGACGTGTTCCACTTTTTATGCCATCCGCCTCCTGGGACCCAAGTTGGGCACCCTTCCTCCGTATTCCTGCCGTTGGCTTATTCCGTCGCAAAGTTGATTTCACGGCATTCTTGCGCTGAATCCCATGCGTTGTCAATGGGAAAGGAATCCTGTTCGCAGAAGATCCGACAACATAACACGACTCTTCTGGTGCGGAAATTTCTGTTCAGGTATACTTTGGGGTTTTATAAATGTTGTTTTATTACTTTTTGTTTCGAATTTTGTTTTTGAATTTACAAAAAGGTGCATAGATATCATTAATTTAAAACCTCACTATTATGCAACACATTGTGAGGTTTTAAATTAATGGTATCTTTTTGTAAATTACACCTTTTTTGCAAATTACCTGTTGGCATCACTGGCTGGCATGGTCCGCTTGATTGAGTCCGGCACTTGTGAAACAAATTGCCGTAGATTCCGACCAAATCCGCTTTTGGCCAACGCATCTCGGTCAGAACATGTTGAACAAATGGACAATTTCGTGAATTAATTTGATGTCTCGGCTGATTTGCCTCTCGTTATTCAGAGTCACAAGAACAGCCGCAAAAAACTTTGCATAATGGCATATAAAGGGATAAAGGGCTTTTCAACCAAATGTACGACATTCCACAGATGTCACATGTGCAGAACAAAGGCTCGAGACAAAGAATTCATTGCAGCCGAATGATTAATTTTAACTCATTCAGCACATTGCTTTGGTGATAATAACGACCATGTTGATGTCAAGTTAATCATTGAACAATGTTTTTCGATCCGCTTTGGACAATCTATCTTCATGACTTTGAATAATATGGTTGTGTGTTTGCTCAATAAATTAGTAAGCATAAAACAGGAAATTTTAGCCCGTCCGTGTTTTATATTGGACATACACATATGTTTTTAATGAAACTAGCCTCAGCGTCCATTTAAAGCGACGTAAAGACCTGTGCCAGCATTTTATTTGAAAATATTTTGAGACCTTCTATAAAATTCCATGCGTTTTTTGGACTCACAGAAGCTCGCACAGTTGTACATCCACAGCCGGCGGAAAAACAATGCCCTTGCACTGCATTTTAATGTCCAACTTGTGGTTCAGTACACAACCAAAACTCTTGTCTGTGAAAATAGACCCTCTGGAGGCCATTATCCTGCTGCCATTGCTGGTGGCAAACTATTTTTAAAGAGTTAAAAGCGATTCTGGGGAAGGCGAATTTATGAAATTAGCATAAGTTGAACCCAAACTGAATATACAACTTTGAGTGGCCCAAAAATTCAGATTCATTGAAGTGAACAAACGAAGGAAAATCCAAAAATATCTTTGCACTGCAAAGGGCTAAGATGGACAAATACGTAAAAATATGGGTGGTCTTTGGGAATTATTTATTTTACTTTCATTTCTGCCGCGGGTCCTTTTCGTTTCCCTTTGTCCGCCTGTTTGTGTAATCGGCTGGAAGGACTTAGATAAAACACGGAATGGCCACAAAAGGATCTTGGCGCTAAGAGCATCTACACCCACACACACTTCATAGATACTTGTACCCATGCAAACATGAGAGTTCGATAACCGGATTTCGAACCAAGTCCGGCGGCCTAAAGGATTGCCAATGTTGGCCAAAACAACTGCACACGTCGGCAAATAAGAATAAATACGTGAAAAATCACGGAACTATAAAAGCATGATGGAACGTATAAGCTCTGCACTTGTATATTTCCAACTCAAAAGGATGCTGCTCTGAATCGTTGGATTTGTAATAGTTAACGACAGATGTTACATTTCCTAGCTTATATTATAGATACTACACTTGCAACAATTTTATATTATAAATGATCCACCAGAAACTGGCCAAACCGCACCATCGTGGACAGCGGGTGAATCATATAGACGAAGAGCATGGCCAGAACGGTGGCCTGCAGGACGAATTCCGTGCGATCCGCTTGCTCGAATCTTCGCTGGTGGATGACGGGGATGGTGAAGAGCACGAGGGTAGCCACGTAGATCAGACTGACCATCGACACGTATCGCATCATATAGCGATTGCCGTTCAGATACACAATCAAGTAGATCGAAACGACAATCACTATGCAACACAATGTGAGGACGAGGATGAAGATGGTGCCGGGCAGCAGCTTTAGCGGCAGATAGATACCCATCATGTAGAGCAAGACGTTCAGGACCAGTACGATGGCGAGGACACCAGCCATCCAGCTCATCGATAGCCGCGCCCACCGGTGGCAATTCACAAAGATGACCATCACCTCCACGACAACAATGGCCAGGAGGCCATTGCACGGACACTGGCTGGCCACGTACACGAAGCCCATGATCAGCACACATCCGAGGGCCAGAAGCAGCCACACGAAGCTGGGCACCGATGGGCTGATCAGCTCCGAGAAGTCCTGATTGCACAGCCGCAGGGTCACAAGCTGAACAACCGCGAGTGCCGACAGAACCGTGTGGATGGCGTAGACCCAGCCGATGTGTTTCCTTCTCACGTCCACCAAGGAGCGATGCTGGGAAGGACCTGACGATATGGCTGTTCTCAACCAGGCCATGGATTCACTAGGTGTTTTCGCAGGTGGCGGCGTCGCAGGTGGCGGCGGTGGATCGGGAGTGGGAGCGGCATGAGTGGGCTTGGGTGGCAGACTTGACCTCGGGCCAGTCGATTTGCGTTGACCCGTCGACGCACGGGGTTGGATATTTGGCTTGCTCATCTTCCTCCGCGTTGATACCACCACCCCCTTTGTGGGCACCTGCTGGGTGCTATGAACATGTATATTAAATATGAATATATTTGATTAACAAGGCGTCGAGTGTACTGTGGGAAAAAAGTGTTACGTTACAATTTAGATTATGTGCTGTTACTGAAACGAAACCAGTTCAATAATACTTTCAGGTGCTGATCTGTGATGGAATAACGAATCGACTGCACATATGATTCTCCTAATGAAACCACTCCGGAGAGTCTGCAGTGCTGCCTCGTCCGACTCATGCATATTAAATGGGAATCATGGGAATGGTGGCCAGGACTCAAGTGCTAATCAATGACACGTGCTGCGTTGTCACCAGACTCATTAAGATGGCCCACCTTTGCACCTGATGATGTGTTTACATATGTATTTAGCTCTGACGCTCTGTGTGCGCTGTGGGCCAACTTATTGGGCCATTTTGTGGCTGAGGCTTTTAGTGAATTTTAATTAGGCTTTGCCGCTGAAAAGCCAGCACGTGCAGAAACATTGGCAAACACGGCCAAAAGCCAAACAACAAAGGCAGGCATTAAATAAACATGAGTCGGCCAAAAAACTTTGCGGTCTCGCCTGGAAGAGAGGAATCCAAGCGATGGCATATTACCTGGCTTTCTTTAGAATACGTTCTTTGCTTTGTTCGCCTGCTATCTAATCCCCAATAATCGAAGACAAAGTACGTATTTATCCAAGACCTTGCTTACACAAATGTCGGCATCAGGAAATTTGGCATATTCGATATTATTAGCCCAGTTTGCTGTCATAATAGGCTTTGGCATTAAAAGTCCTACAAATGCCTATCAACCAGCCTGCCACTCACAACAACAATAACTTTTGAGAGATTTAAACTGACAGGGCCAATAGCCAGCAAAAACCACAACACGAACAGAATGCCAAATTCTGATCGGAAGTGCGCCCAAGGAAGTCATAGTAAATCCAATTAGAAGGACAATCGGATTCTATTGACGCTCGAATGAGTTGACCTAAGCTGTGAACTGTACAAAAGATTTATTGATGCGAAAGAATTGCACTTATTATCAGGAAAATTAATGGTTTTAATATATTTATATAAATATATGAAAACTACGAGTATATAAATTACCATCAGTAAGCACATTTACTTTTTTCATTTTCCAATTTTGGTTTCATTTCAGTTTTCTTTGAAAAGCCAACCTTAATTATGCCCTAGAAAATTCACCTAAAATGCAAATGTAATTAAATTTTAATGACTTCCATTAAGTTACTTGGCCTGGTTGAAATGTCGTTACTTATTGAACCAATTAAAACGTCCATCTCAGGTTGTCATGACAAAGGCTCAAAATATAAGTGCCATCAACGATGTATGGCTGATTGATTGAACTGGCGGATCCTTGTGCATTTGAGCAACAATAATACTTAATAGATACCTTGCATTCTATTAATAATAACTTGGCATACTTTTGGCAATTAGAGGGTTCTGAATGTTCCACATTCCACCTACCTAATCAGGGTGTCAGCTTATGTCAAGCCAAGTCAAGTCTTTAGCCTTGAAAGTTAACAATAGGGCTCCGTATAAGCATTCATGGGAAGATAATTACCACGGACATGCGAGCTGGCCAAGTGTGCTCAAAGAAGGTTAATTATTTAAAACCATATTTCTAGATATAGAATAGAGCAGGACATACGTGTATGTGGCTGGGTAAATATAGAAAGGAATATTTGAACCCTTTGGAACACTTACCCACCCCAAAAAGGTTCAATTTAAAACGCCATTCGGTGGCAAGACATTAAATATGCCTTATGTGGCACGTGCCCCCATCAGAATCCTACCGTGACCTTCCAACCGTGCGACATGCAATTGAACAAATAAATCAGCGGGCTAATAAATTTTTGCCAACGATGGTAGGAGCAGCCTCTAGCTGGGGCCAAAACCAAGGCTACCATAAATGCTGCCATAAATGCCGCCGACTGAGCCATTCAAGATGCCAGGTGAACGGAGGACAAAGCCCGATTTCAGGCGACAAGGCAGGGAGTTACACTTGGATGAGTTTCTGTAGCTGTTGCAATTGCCGGGTTTCCAGCTCTTTTTGGGATTTTCATGCCTCTCCTGGTTTTCCCTTCCTTCTCCTGACTTCACTTTTGTGCTGTTGCCTGCTGTACCACATTGCGTATACGTGATGTGCCACGGCACTCGCTTCCACATTCAACAATATGATTAAAGGCAATTTTTAGCACCTGTTCTGGCTGTTGATTTCGTATCGAGTATTAATTGCAATTTATTTTTATGACAACACTCGGGACGACTCACATGCGTTTAAATTATTTATGCGTGGGAGGATAGCACATTTAAATGCTTATTTATGCATAAGTAACTGAATTGTGTACTTCGTACACAGTTAACGGGAACTCAGGTTGATCGGAATCGCTTGTTTAAACAATTGCACTTTGAAATTACTTTTTATAAACGTGATCAAAGTGTATAAGAATTTGTTCCCATTAACATATAGCTAAAAATGACGGTGCAAGATAAAAGACTACCTGAAGAAACATAACGTGGTTCTACATAAAATAAACATTAGGGCCATCTCAAAGGAAACCCAAAACTCATTGAATTTTCTCTTCATGATTATGATTTCTCTTACGTTTCTTTTTCGTTTCTCCCAAAGGTTATCTTTAATTATGTCCAACATTTTTCCTTTTCTTTTTCATCTGTGTTAAGCCCTTTCCGAAGAACAACAACAAGCTGAGCAGTGTCCTTGTCCGTTTCCAAGTAATTTAAAAACAAGCCTAACACTCATTAAGACTTTGAGCTACGATTCCCAATGCACAGAGAATTAAAAACATTCCAGCCATGGGAAATATTCAAACCAGAAGGCAGGCGGTCCACCTATTTTTATGTGAGCTCTTCAAGCGTTAAGTGCTCAACGGCGTTTTAACTAGTTCTGGAATTGCAGCACGGTGGTTTACAACACGTCAAAGACAACAATGCTGCAAATAACAAAAGTTGGTCTTCTCTGTTGTGTTGAGCCCTCATCATCCGATTCCAACGAGTTAAGTTCCTTAAGTTGTGGGAGCTGCACATTAGTTTCTATCTAGAAGTCCAAGTTGTTTTTCAGTTAGTCTGAAAGCACCACTTAAATGTGTCACTTGAAAAGCATAAACAGACATTTACTCAATATTAATCTGCGTCTGGCATCTGCCCAACAAAATTAAAGTGGAATATCATTACGTTGTTAAAGTCAAGCAGTCAAGCAGTCAAGCAGTCAAGTAATGCTTTTAAAAGAAACAATGAAACGAGTGCAGACACCTACGCTTAAAGTTTAGTAAGTCTGGTGTAATCTTTTAAGCCTGAAAACAGCAAATAATTTATTTAAACCTAAAGCCAAAGTTAAGCCGGAGTCCCAAATGCTGCAATAAAAAACATGGAAGCTTTGCCCGTGTTTCTAGACAAATGTTGACTATAAACAAAAAGCTTAAGGATTCAAGCACTCTCTTAGCTTCTTTGATAAAAGGAATTTTGCCTACCAAAAGATGTTGAAGAAGCTAATAGTGGCCCCTTATGTTTACTTACTTGTCCACAAATACAATCAAATATACAATAATATAAGCCCCTAACAAGCTGAGAAGTTATTTTAAAAGCATGAGGTTTGAAAGCCTAATTTCATGTCTGCGAGTGCTGTGATCAAAATTCATTTTAAATCCTGTCAGTTAACTTTGTATACATTTTACAACTAACGATAGAAACTAATATAGAAACGCATGACATCAAAAAACTTTAAAAAAAACATAATTATATTTTAAAATATTAAAAAATATATAAACCATGAAAAGAGTACATGTGGACAACTACACACCGAAGTACTACAGTGGCAAGTGGTCCTGGAGCACCGAAAAGGATTGCCTGGAATTCGAGCCGCACAACGATCTGGAGGATGCCAGGGAGCGCTACATCACCACCAATGGCTACAAGTTCCTGCGCATAATCGACCAGGAGGAGGAGCTCATCTTCCGGCAGGCTTATGTGCGGGATACGGGCACCTATGACTTTGACACCTTGGTGATCAACGACGTCCGCGACCTGGTTCTCTTCCTGATGCCAAGCGATTTCCTGACCTACCGGTTCGTGGAGTTCATGCACCGCCCGGCGGTTCACCGTCTGATCCATGCGCTCGTCATTTACTTCGAGTACTTCCTGCGGATGGTGGAGTTTGTGCTGGTGCGACGCGATGAGCTGGCCGATCAGATCCAAAGCGATCAGACCATCGATATGAAGAAGACCTTCTCGATCTATCTCAGCCAGTATCGACTCCTGGTGGCCCGCAACTACAGCGTAATCCTGAAGGGAGACGGTGACATGTCCAAGTACTACCATATGAAGGAGATTATCAATATTTCGGATACCAGTCGCGACCGGGTCTTCCACGAACAGTTCCTGGCCGTGATGACCCAGATCGTTTGGATCTGCATGCATCGCCGTGCGTACAACGTCATTGAGATGGAGATGAACCGTCTTTTTCGGTCCGACCACTTCGTTATGGCACGTCCGGAGTATCTAAGCTTTACGCCGGCGGAGCGGAGTTTACTGTATGGCCGTAACCATAGGATCGTCAACTATCGCACCCAGGTATCGCCGCTCGTCCAGGAGTTGGAGCACGTGGAGGAGGAGGACATGCCCATCCTGTGGATTGGCGAGCGCAAGTATCGAGGCAACGACAGGCGCATTGCCGAGATGGAGCTGGAGTACATTGTGCCGGGACCACAACTGCGTATGATCGATGTGGCACACGGCATACTGGGACATCCAAAGGATCTGTACAACACCATTCTCGACCTGGACTGGCCCACAGTTCGCTACTCTAACTTTTCGCTGGGCTACGATCCGTACCACATCATGCGCCAGCCGCATCTGGATATTCCCAGGATCGATGCCTTGAAAGTGCGCAAGATGAGCGAAAACTACGAGCACTTCTACAAGGTATATCGCATCTACGAGCCGCACAGCCTGCAGATCCTGAGGAAGTGGCTCAAGCGGGACAAGCTCGTCCAGTTCTATCGCTCTGGGGGGCTGCTGCTCACCAACGTGGTGTCCCGGTGCGAGAAGGAACTGGCCGAAAAGGTACCGGTCACCAAGGTCGACCAGGTCATCTCGAACTACTTCAAGGTGAAGTCCAGGCTGCGCAAGGGATCGCCATATGAAGTGGACAACATCAGCATCACCTCCTCGCGCATCGGGGGCTTCAATTCGCCACGCCAGAAGAATACGCCCCAGGAATACTATTTCGATTGATGGGTAAATGGCCAAATAATTCAAAATTATAATTTCGTGAATAAAATACTTATGAGTCTTGCATTCTTGGCATCTTAAAAATATGTCTAATGTTGATAGTTTTTTATAATGTTATTAGCACATGTTAAGGTGCATATTTCCGCTTAGAAATGCGAGCCGTATACTTTTCGCTCCCACTGTTTCAAATGGCAGATCAGCTGATCCGCAGATAAGGCTATCGTTTCAAAATCTGCCCACCTCGACAGCAGTAGTGCAGTAGTTGCTCGATAGACTCGGTTCAGTAGAGTGGCACATCTTCCGACCGCAATCATGTCCGCTCCGCCGTATCGTCATTTTACCCAAATCGGGGATCCTGTACTGCGGCAAAGGGCCGAAGAGGTTCCGCCCGAGGACATCGACAGTATGGAGATCAACCAAATTATTGACGGAATGGTGAAGGTGTTACGTCACTACGATTGCGTGGGCGTGGCTGCGCCCCAAGTTGGAATACCGCTGCGCATTATCGTTATGGAGTTCCGGGAGGGAAAGCAAGAGCAATTCAAGCCGGAAATCTACGAGGAGCGCAAGATGTCCACTCTGCCCTTGGCCGTAAGTAAAAATGTACTTTTCACTTTAGGAAAATGTGTTATATACATTAAGGTAGTTTAATGAATGTGTGAGTTTTAGAAAGTATATTTTTGCATCCAAATGTATTGCTTATGTGCATCACCAATCCCGTGATTTATCATCGTAAATCATTTGCCTGCAGGTCTTCATTAATCCGGAGCTGGAGATAATCAGCAGCCAAGTAAACAAACATCCCGAAGGTTGCATGAGTGTGCGAGGCTATTCCGCTCAGGTGGAGCGGTACGATAAGGTCCGGATCCGAGGGATCGGCAAGCTGGGCACTCCGTCGGAAATGGAACTGGAGGGCTGGAGCGCACGGATCGCTCAGCACGAGGTGGATCACCTGAATGGCATTATCTACGTGGATAAGATGGATCTCCCCACCTTCAACTGCATTCTCTGGGAGCAAATTAATGTGGCTGAGGGTCGATCCGCCATTTGGTATCACAAGTAAAGCTATCCGTTGGTTGCGAATAGGACGCACTATAACTTCAACGTAATATATGCATTTCCAGGAGTTTTTTCACTTTCTTATGACGTTTTGTACACAATATTTCTATATTATTCGAAAATAAACTACACCTCTAAAAGTAATGCATTGACGGATGGAAAAGAATGTTACAAACATATCCTATATGTAAGACAAAAGTTAAGCTCACTTGCCATAAAGATTAAGCTTTTCCAACAAACTTTAGTCCTTTAAAACGCGCGCAAAATTGCAAGTGTTTACCCACCGATAGATCGATAGCAAACATTTTTACATCCCTAGCCGGTCAGGTGGCCAGTAGATCATCGATACGATATTTTTTTTTAATATCACGACATCCCTACTCTAAATTAGAAGACATGCCTTACAGTCTTCACTAGAACTAGTTGGGATTTATAGGGCTACAAGAAAATATGTTTCCTAAAGAAATATTAAAAGCGGCAATGACTATGTGTTCCAACAGTAAGTTAAACAGGCTTCAGGCTTTATTTAATACAATTTTTACTACTTACTTTAAAGACCTCACTATTTTTACTCACTAATATAATTATTTCAAAATAATAGACTATTATTAATAAAATTATTCTTATTATTATTATTATTATAATTATTATTAATTGTTATTAGTAAAAATTGTCTTAAATAAAGCCTGAAGAATGACAAACTTACTGTTGTAACGCATAGTTATTGCCGCTTTTAATATTTGCTTAGGAAAAATATTTTCTTGTAGCCCTATAATTCCCAACTAGTTCTAGTGAGGACTGTAAGGCATGTCTTCTAATTTACAGTCGCAAAATAGTTCAAGTAATCTCTCTTACCGGTCGAGCAGTGAGAGAGTGAGAGAGAGAGTGAGAGATAGTGTATATGAAGTGTATGTACCGGTGTATGTAGGTATGTATGTATGCATGCATGTATGTATGTATGCATGCATGTATGTATGTATGTATGCATGTATGTATGTATGTATGTATGTATGTATGTATGTATGTATGTATGTATGTATGTATGTATGTATGTATGTATGTATGTATGTATGTATGTATGTATGTATGTATGTATGTATGTATGTATGTAGTGTATGTGTTACTTGCACAAAGTAAAAATTGTCTTAATTAAAGCCTGAAGAATGTTTAACTTACTGTCGGAACACGTAGGTATAGCCGCTTTTAATATTTGCTTAGGAAACATATTTTCTTGTAGCCCTATAATTCCCTAGTTCTAGGGAAGATTGTAAGGCATGTCTTCTAATTTAGAGTCACAAAATATTTCAAGTAAAATAAATTTTAGGGATATGATGATTATATTTAAAATATCATAAAAAAATATAGATATATTTGATAATTTCGATATATTTTTTTTTTCAAATAAAATTTGGTTTTTTCCCACAATAAAAATATAAAAGTTTCTTATTAACTTCATGTTTCTTATTTAACTAGATATTCAATATCTAATACAGATTGTGTTTATATAAATTAATGCTACTTATTTCCAATACTTCGAGTTAAGTGATTTTATGTCTGTCAGTCATTCGTGCGTCACAGACTACACATTTTATAGCGGACGCCAATCGCTCTGAAGGCACTGAGCTCCCGGAGTGATCAGATACCTTATGGTCATTTTAACACGATCACTTTTACCCGGTATCTTTTTGGAAATCAGAGTGACCGAAGGGAAAATATCAAGAAAATATCGTCGATACTGCGATTTGGGCAAAGATAATATCACGATATAAATTTAAAATTTTCAGAAAAAATATCGATATATTGATATTTTGATATATTATCAACAGCCCTAGTGGCCAGTATGACCGTGTTGTATAAGTGTTTTCCTCACAATTTTGGTCGGAGTATTGAAATAAAGGAGGTTAAACGTTGCACAAAATGCGCCTGAATCCTCGGATAAAAGTATGCCAAACGATTCTGGGACACGGGCGATCCTTTGGAACGAGTCCTGCCGCAGGTCAGTCGTTCAGGAAGTGGTACCAACAACTGTGGGCCACGGAGCGCACCAACTTGCCGCCCTACAACCATTTCACCCAGATTGGGGACCCTATTCTGAGGCAACAGGCGGCTTTGGTGCCCAAGGAGCACCTGGATAGCCCCGAGATCAAGGCCATCGTCGAGCGGATGGTCAAGGTGCTAAGGAAATTCGAATGCGTCGGCATTGCGGCGCCCCAGATTGGTGTATCGCTCAGGATCATAGCCATGGAGTTCAAGGGACGCGTCCGAAAGGAGCTGCCCGAGGTCGTCTACCAGGCGCGACAAATGTCCGAGTTGCCACTGACTGTGAGTTTGGGTCCTAGCGAGCTGTGTTCGGAATCCCAACCCTTCTGATACAATGGTTTTTACAGGTTCTCATCAATCCCGTCCTGACAGTGACCAACTACACCAAGCTGAAGCATCCAGAAGGCTGCATGAGTGTGCGAGGTTACTCCGCCGAAGTGGAGCGTTTCGAAGGTGTAAAGCTAACAGGCCTTGACCAACAGGGAATACAAAGCGAACTGGCTCTGAGTGGGTGGAATGCCAGGATAGCACAGCACGAAATGGATCACTTGGAGGGGAAACTGTACACCGATCACATGGACCGCTCCACCTTTGCGTGCACCTGCTGGGAGGCGGTAAACACGAAATCCGGACGCGTGGAGATACCCTTCTACAAATAGTTAAGTCGCTCGGGGATCGTTTCACTATGTATGTATATAACTGATTGAATGGAATTGTTCTCTATCGTTGGCAAATGCGCTCCCGACTGGTTTTAGTCCATTGGTTTGGTGGGTGCACAAACCCGTAGATTGTGGGTAGCCGCCCCAAGGGCCGCCTTGGCCTTGAAGTACTCCGGACTGTCCCACAGATCACTCTTGTCCATCATGTAGGCCAACAGTTCGTGGTACTCCCGCATCAGCAGACGATGGGTGGCAGTCGTCTTCAGCCGTTGCATCTCAAATAGCTCAGAAAGAGTTGGCTCGGCTGCAAGCTCTTGATCACTCCCAATCTTCAGGCTTATTTCTTCGTGATGGATGCCCAACAGGCAATATTCATTGTACTGCTCCCGCAGACTCTTGCCAAGATAATTGAGGACTGCAGTGCGAAGGATAAACTGCCGGATGACCGGATCGGCATTGTCGCGCCTCAACATGCTAAGCACAGTCTGTGAAACTCCTAAATCAGAGTGGAATATACTAATCCTGTGTATACAGATTGACAGAAAAATCACGCCACCTTGGAACCTATTCAGATCTTTTAAATGATCACAGTCGAAGCATCATCTAAATTTCAGTCATTCTGAGGAATAGAAACATTGTACTCTCATTGAAGACACCAATTTTGCACTGCTTTTATAAATTTATACTCCCTTTAACTACCAACCACAATGAAGCGCGTTCATGTGGATAACTACGCACCAAAGTACTACAGCGGCAAGTGGTCATGGGATTCGGAGAAAGACTGTCTCCACTTTCAGGCCCATAATGATCTGGAGAACGCCCGGGAGCGCTTTATTATCACCAATGGCTACAAATTCCTGCGCACAATGGACCAGGAGGAGGAACTCATCTTCCGACAGGAGTATGTGCTACCGAAAAGCAACTATAGTGACGTTGTGGTGGTGGGAGATATTAGAAACTTGGTTCTCTACCTTATGCCTCAAGAATTTCTAAGCTACAAGTTCGTTGAGTTCATGTACGAGAAGGAAACGCACCTACTGCTTCACTCCTTGATTATATATTTTGAGCACTATTTGCGAATGGTCGAGTTTGTACTTATACGTCGAGATGAGCTGTCGGGTCCCCTTGGTCAGGTGCAGAGCGAGCAAACCAATGATATGAAACGAACATTTTCGGTATATTTGAGCCAGTATCGTATGCTTGTTGCGCGAAACTACTGCCGCATCATCGGGGGCGAGGGCAAAATGGCCAAGTACTACCACATGAAGCCGATTTCCAACATATCCGCAACGATCCACGATAAGTACTTCCATGAGCATTTTCTGGCTGTGGCTATCCAGATTGTTTGGATCTGCATGCATCGCCGGGCGTACTTCGTCATCGAAATGGAGATGAATCGCCTGTTCCGGTCGGAGCACTTCGTTTCCGCCCACCCTGAATACCTCACGTTCACTGAATCGGAGCGCAGTCTGCTCTACGGCAGAAACAAAAAGAACTATAACTATCGCATTCAGGATTCGCCCCTTGTCCAGGAACTTAAGCTGGTTCCTGAGGAGGATATGCCCATTTTGTGGATAGGCGAACGCAAGTACAGGGGAAATGATATCCGCATTGCCGAGATTGAGCTGGAGTACATTGTGCCTGGATCCCAGCTCCTCTTCATAAATGTATCGCACGGCATCATGGGCCATCCGAAGAATCTCTACAACACGCTTCTTAGTCTCGACTGGCCGGCTGTACGGTTCTCAAACTTTTCGGAGAAGTTCGATCCGTACCATATAATCAGGCGACCTCACCTGCAAATTCCCAAGATAGGTGAGCTTCAGATGCGTGCAATGAGCGAAAGATATGAGCATTTCTACCAGATCTGCAAGGTTCATGAGCCAGCCACCCACCATCAGATCTGCAAGTGGGTCAAACGAGACATCAACATTGCGTTCTTTCGGTCCGGAGGTCTGCTCACGAACGTAATCTCGCGCTGTGAAAAGGAGTTGGAAAGCACATCCTCAGGACTAAGGGTCGATCAGATCATTTCCAACTATTTTAAGATGATGTCCAAAATACGAAAGGATGATAGGGATGTGGAGGTTCTTTCATCTAATCGTAGTAGTGCTGCATCGCGATATAGCCTTTTTAAGTCGTCAAAGAAATCAACCTAATTTTAAAACTTAATCACAATTTCTTGCATATTATTAAATATACACCAAACCCAACGAGCGCTAAGTTGTAAAGCACTATGATAGCATCATAGCCATGAACAAAAGCCATTGGTATCCGCTCTAGAGTATCGGCTTTGTAGGTGGGAGCTTGGGAGTAAAACTTCACTCAGGGCTTTCGGAAATGGTCATTATTCCACTAAACTTCGTCACGTACACAGCACTAAATACACTTTAAGAACACAAGACCCAACCAGATCCTCATTAATCAACGCGACTACGATGAAGAGGGTCCATGTGGATAACTACGCCCCAAAGTACTACAGCGGCAAGTGGTCATGGGATTCGGAGAAGGACTGCCTCAACTTCCAGGCGCACAACGACCTGGAAAACGCAAGAGAGCGCTTCATAATCACCAATGGCTACAAGTTCCTGCGCACCATCGACCAGGAGGAGGAGCTTATCTTCCGGCAGGAGTACGTGCGCTCCAAGAGCAACAACAGTGATACAGTGGTGCTAAGAGACATTCGAGATTTGGTGCTCTACCTGATGCCCAAGGAGTTTCTAACCTACAAGTTCATTGAATTCATGCATGAGCCAGCGGTGCAGTCCGTGCTCCACGCCCTAATATTGTACTTCGAGTACTACCTACGCCTGGTGGAGTTCGTGCTGATTCGCAGAGATGAACTCTCTGGCCAGATGGCCCAAATTCAGAGCGCGCAGACCACTGAGATGAAGAAAACCTATTCCGTTTACCTGAGCCACTTTCGCATATTGTTAGCCCGAAACTACTGTGAGATTATCAAGGGCGAGGGAGACATGGCCAAGTACTACCACATGAAGCCGATTTCCAACATATCCGCAACGATCCACGATAAGTACTTCCATGAGCATTTTCTGGCTGTGGCCATCCAGATTGTTTGGATCTGCATGCATCGCCGGGCGTACTTCGTCATCGAAATGGAGATGAATCGCCTGTTCCGGTCGGAGTACTTTGTCTCCGTCCGCCCTGAGTACCTCGAGTTCACGGAGGCGGAGCGAAGTCTTCTCTACGGCCGGAACAGCAAGAACCTCAATTATCGCGTCCAGATCTCTCCGCTGGTGCAGGAGTTGGAGCACATGGCGACGGAGGACTTGCCCATTCTGTGGATAGGAAAGCGCAAGTATAGGGGCAGTGATCTTCGCATTGCTCAGATTGAGTTGGAGTACATTGTGCCCGGATCGCAGCTCCGCTTAATTGACGTGTCCCATGGCATCCTCGGTCACCCAAAGAATCTGTACAACACCCTTCTGAATCTCGACTGGCCGGCAGTTCGATTCCTAAACTTCTCGGAGCAATACGACCCATATCATATCATCAGACGGAACTATCTGGACATTCCCAAGTTGGGTGAACTTCAGATACGGAAGATGGCCGAGAGTTATGAGCACTTCTACGAGATCCTGCACTTCTTCGTGCCAGTCACCCATCATCAGATCTGCAAGTGGGTCAAACGAGAAATCAACATTGCGTTCTTTCGCTCCGGAGGTCTGCTCACGAACGTAGTTTCGCGTTGTGAAAATGAGTTGGCCACCACATTTGAGGGACAAGACGTCGACAAAATCATTGCCAATTACTTCAAGATAGTCTCCAACATTCGGAAGGTGGACTATTTCGAGTCACCTCGTGTCAGTGACATTAGCGCAGTGAAAAAGGGGAACTTAGGTAAAGGATAAGGTACCTTATACGTCGGCTTAAAAGTAGGAGCAAAAACCATGCATTGTTGGTTGCGACTTTGTGACGGATTGCTACCTTACTTTGAAGGGCCTACAATAGGTATTCTTGTAATTTATACATTTCCAACCTGTCTACATATGAAAAAATACATTTATACGTTGATGAAAATATAAAACAACTGAAAACATTTCGTTTTCATTCACTCGCCTCTGAAAAATAAAAACTCGACATTTTAAAAGTAACCGAAAACCGTCAGAAATGTATATTAGTTTACCAACTTTCAAATCTTATCTCTATATTACTTATATACAATTTAATTTGTTACTATTCTGGAATTTACTATGAAAATGCCTTGAAAGTTATTAGGAATCCACTCCTTTGTCCGGGTTGCAGTCTAAAACAGGCCCTCAATTTGTCCGGTTTCCGTGTTCAGGTCGATATCGTAGATAGCCGGGCGGGTGGGAAGACCCGGCATTTTGGTGACCTCACCGCACATGGCGACCACGAAGCCGGCTCCGGCTGAAACATATACGTCCTCAACGTCCAGGGTGAAGCCCTTGGGGGCGCCTTTGATCTTTGCATCGCCAGTGAAAGAGCCGGAGACCTTGGACATGCAGATAGGAAGATTGCCAAAGCCCTGCAATTCGAACAATGGATTTATATTAAAAATGTCCGTTTATTGAAGCAAATGTGCTACACTTACCGCATCCGTCAGGCGCTTGACCTTCTCCTCAGCCGCCGGCGAGAGCACCACCTTTCCAGCGCCGTACATAGTCGTGGCGATCTTGTTCATCTTATCCACCAGCGGCAGCTCCAGATCGTAGAGCAATCGGAACTGGTTGCCCTGCTCGCAGGCACTGATCACCGCATCGGCCAGCTCAACGGCACCGGCTCCTCCGTCCGCCCAGTGAGTGGAGACTACGGCGGCGAATGCACCTGCCTCCAGAGCAGCCTTCTTGACCAACTCATGCTCCGCCGGAGTGTCGGCTGAATGGGCATTCAGGCTCACCACCACTGGCATGCCGAAGGCCTTCCCGTTCTCGATGTGCTGCAGCAGATTGGGCAGACCCTTCTGGACGAGCTCCAAGTTCTCCTCGGTGTATTGCTTGTTCAAGGGGGCTCCGGGCGTGACGGGAGCTCCGCCACCGTGCATCTTGATGGCCCTCACAGTGGCCACCAGCACCATGGCGTTCGGCTTGCGACCGGATGTCCGGCACTTAATGTTGCAGAACTTCTCCATGCCAATATCTGATCCGAATCCTGCCTCCGTGCACACAAATCCATCCTTACCAACCAGCTTCAGGCCGACTTCATCAGCGATGATCGAGTTGCAGCCGTGGGCGATGTTGGCAAAGGGACCAGCGTGCACCAGCACTGGAGTTCCCTCGAGGGACTGCATCAGGTTGGGCTCGAGGGCGTCCTTCAGAAGAACTGCCAGGGCGCCGGTGACGCCCAAATCGTCAGCGGTTACGGGCTTGCCCCGTTTGTCGAAGGCCACCACCATGTCAGACAGCCGCTGCTTCATGTCCTCCAGACTTCGGGATAGCGCCAGCACAGCCATGATCTCGCTGGCCACCGAGATGGAGAACCGGGTCTCCCTCGTAATTCCCTTCTCGGTGGGTGATTGACCTACGGTAATGGTGCGTAGGTACCGATCGTTGATGTCCACCACGCGCTCC